AAAAAGGTTGAAGGAACATTTCTACCAGCCTGGTTGTTTTTTTCAGTGTTAAGGAGTTAAGAGCTTCAGCTGAACTGCATGTAAGAGATGCCAGGTGGGGAAGCCATTTGGGACGCCTCAAAAAGGCAAGTTTCTGCATGGTTGTCTGGCATCATTAAGCACTCTTCCATTTTTCTACTAACTTGCTTCTGGATGGATGTCAGGAACAGTGGTTCATTTTCTGAATCACCAAGTAAGTTTTTCTTATCTGTCTGTGATTGGGGATCCCCTCCCTAACAATTGGCAGGGTACCCTTGAACAATAGAACTAGAACTAGTTATGAGAGAGCTGTCCATTTCAGTTTCTATTTTTCAAGAGGAAGGAAGGAAGGAAGGAAGGAAGGAAGGAAGGAAGGAAGGAAGGAAGGAAGGAAGGAAGGAAGGAAGGAAGGAAGGAAGGAAGGAAGGAAGGAGACTGAATACAAAATATATACTGAGCAATTAAAACATATTTGTAATTGAGCTTCTAGTTCAGAGTTTTATACTATAGTGCACATTTTTACATATACACTAACCAAAGGACAGAGAAAGGATGATTACCACCTGCATAGATTTAAGTTAAATGATGTGGACTTGGAAAAACACTTTTACCTAAGGATTCTGAAACATAAGCTTCAGGAATTACATTACACTTTTTCTAGAGAAGACTAATTGAGATATGGTCCTAAGTGAGCTCTACAAAAAACAAGTTAATGATGTAACTTTTAATAGTTTAATAGCAGCATGAATATGACTTCTTTTGAACAAGAGAACTACAGGCTTTGCCTTCTGATAATGAATCAGAAAATGATTACCAGTAAGGGTCATCAGTGCTTTTCTAAGGCCAAGAAGAGGTATTTGTTCTTTATAAAATGAAAAGTTCTAGGGTGTCATATTTTAAAAACAATCATACTGTGCTAAATACTTCTAGATTCTATGGTGTTTTCTTTCTGAACATAAATAGGTTTTTGTTTTAAAATTTGGCTGTTCCTTGGGTTAGACTGTTATTTTCACTAAGTTTGCTATTTAGATGTTTCCTATTGATTCTGGAAACTAGTGCTGAGTTGGGTTTTTGGTAAGTAAGCTTACTTTGCTTCCTAATGGTTAAGTTAAAGGACTGTAACATCACATTGGGATATAACTGTAGGAGCAGCCAATTCTCATCACTTTTAAATGTTACATTATAATTATAGAAAACTGCCTTGTGCTAAATTGCTTTATTTGCCCTCCACCCGCCAAAAACTTTTAACTCTAAATAGGAGAATCTCTACAGGATCTTTTATAATACCTGCAATCTGACATAATCACCTTAGAAGATGACAAAATTGAAAGTAGGATTTTATGTATAGAAGCTACACTCTGATTCTCCTAATTTTCAAAGATGATATATAAAGATCAAAACCTTTTTGTTATTATACTTGCACAATGACCTTCTAGATGAAGGTCAAATAGCAGAACCTTCAGTTGCATTATTTTGAGCAGCATTAGTGGTTTTTGTTAAGGAATGGTCATCCTTGTGAATGTGGTAATGCAACCAGAGGCTGTTATTTAACATTATAATTATCATTTCTCTATTCCCCAAGCAGTTAAGGGAGACATGTTGGCCATAATCTTGCTTCTGGCTAGTAAAACACTTGAAATTTAAAGACTCAAATTTCAGTTGCACAATGCATGAAATTATATATTGAAAGACTGCTTTTTTAGTGCAGGTGTTCAGTTTAAATAGAGTTTAGGTACACATTTAGAATTCCCATATGAATTTTTGCTAATTTAAAAGCCACTAATTTTGAGTTGCTTTATATTCTTGTATTTGGTCTGTTTCTGGTAGGGAGAGTAGTAATAACCTTTCCCATTTTTTCCCTTTTTGTTTTGTCAAGAAGATTCACAAAAATCCCTGTGAAGTTCCAAATTTTCACCAGTGTAAGTTACTGCAATACATCTGGGGTTCTCTGTGTTCTGAATCCAATGAAGGAATGACTGAATCTCATGATGGAACACTAGCTGCAATTCCTTGGGCACCTTCAGAATGCTTGATTCAGAACTGGTTGCTCTCCCAAACAATTCTGGCCTCCAAAAGCAGATTTTGAGGGGATGCAGGAAACCCCTAGTAAAAAAGAAATTTCATATGATATAGATTCCACACTTGGATGAAAAGGAGCACTTATGATCCTATTAAATGTTATTGCATTTTACTAAAATCAGGGGAGGGAGAGAAAGATAAAGTTATCAGCTTACAGTATATTTATTTTAGTGTTTTAACTAAGATGTTGGTTTTAACAAATACATACACCCAAACACGTATATGAATTAATATCCAAATTAGGGAAGACTTCTCAGATCAACTCTCCAGTAGATTAACTGATTCTTTTGGAGAAATAAATAGGTCAAAAGTGCAGTGGTTTTGTTGGTTATAGCACCAACCTTGCACAAAATATCTGTTGATTCATATCATACAAAAACCACAAACTAACTTTATAATACACAAATTTTGAAACAAGCCTCATGGGATCTTATCCCTGTTTAGCTGGTGGTTTGCGGGCTGCAGGCATCCAGGAATAAGACCTTTGCAACATTTATGAGAAATACATGTTTTGAGATATTTAGAGGGCATTTGAATGAAAAATAAAAGGCTAACTCCCACCTTCTATAGGATTCAACTTTGCTTTCTTAGCTAGACTGTTCTATTTTTAATTACTACAAAGAAATGGGAAAGAAGGAATATTCCAAAACAGGTTTATATTGTAACTGTTTCTTTTTCTAGCTTTTCTAAAGTACATTTTGAGATAAATTAATTGGTACCAATCAATTTCCCCAAGTATATTCAGAGGCATACTGACACACTGCAGCATGGAATAGTAGTGATTAAGTCCTAAAGAAAAGCCATAAGCACAATTAGTTAGCATTATTTCAATTTAGTTTTAAAAATTATAGTGCTGAACTATGTATGCTTTTATCTGCCTCCATACATGAAATGTAAAGCCATTTACTAAATGTAAAACCATAAAAATGCAGGTTGATCTTCCCTTTACTGCTTTTTCTTTCTGCAAATCTGGGATAATTGTAGAATATTCAATTCTGGGGTTTGATTCCATATAAAGGCAATTAGTGTTGTGTTTTCTTTGTTATAACAAATGGAAATGTTGTTGGGCATAATGAACCTCTTTAAACATTTTATTTCAAATACAGACATAAATGCATCTGTTTTAAGCCAAGTATTGGCTTAAATGCTATGGTGCTGCTTAATGTTTTATCAGACATTTAATGCTATTTTTTGGATTCAGTATTTGTTTAAATGAATAAATTTATAAATTTATACTATGTGTTTACATCTTCAGCAAACAGTAGTGTTTAGTTGTTTCTCCAGGATAAATTATTTTCTTTAAAAAATTAAATGTATCTGCTCTTTTAATTAAATTCAGGGGGAAGACATCTGTTATACATTATCTTTTTTGTTGTTGTTTTAAAAAGCTTCCATTCCTTTGCTCCATTTTATAGGCCTTAGAATACTGTTGTTTACTAGATAATAGTTTTAACTATAGTCTTAATATATAGTTGCATTATAAAACATTTCTACGAAATATCTTGTAATTGTTAGCTATAGGCCCAATTCTGAACACATATCAGGAAACAAGTTATGGAGACACAGACAAATACAGGTAATCCTCAACTTATAACCATTCATTTAGCAACTGAAGTTACAACTCTGAAAACAGTTATAATAGGCCCTCCCACTTATAACATCACAAATCCCCACAGTAACATGATCAAAATTCATGTGCTTGGCAACCAGTATGTGTTTATAACAGTTGCAGCATTTTAGGATCATGTGATTGCCATTTGTGATTTTCCAGATAGGCTTCTGACAAGCAAATAGTAAGTCAAAGGGCAAGCTGGATTCACTTAATGACTATATCATTCACTTAACAACTGCAGCAATTTGTTTAACAAATGTGGCAAAAAAAGCTTATAAAATCAGGCATGACTCATGTTACTTACCTGTCTCTTCTATCTCTCTGGATGCCTATGTCACAAAAAAAAACTTCCCCAGTGTCGCTACATGGTTATAACTAATCTCCAAAATTTCCACATAAAGCAATTAAAAGAAAAACAAAAACAAATCTAAGCCACTCCGAGAAAGAAGCTTCTTTTAGACTGAAAAAATAAATTTGTCAGGAAATTGTAAAACAAATTTTAGTATCAAAGAGAAACCTAGAAATTATAAAGCAGGTGAACTTAAGCTTAAAATGAAAATAACATCAAAGGAAGGAAAGAAGAAAATTGCTGATGTAACAAATAGTGGAAACTGTGATATTTTTAAAAAAAAATGATCTAGGAAGCCCCGTGTAAAACATTTATAAGGGCAATCCTGCATGTGTTTAGTTTAATATAAATTACACTGCCATTTCTTGTTTGATAAGTGTCTTCAGGTTTCCAGTTGAGGCCCATTTACTCTGGAAAATATTTCAATAAACTTGGAAATTCTGAGAACAAATATTCTGGGTTACACTAAATTTGGCTATAGCTAGCAATATGGTATTAAAAGCAAAAGTTTCATTCATGCAGATCACCTTTCAGCTTTTATACTTGATAAGGTTATTGTTTAGAATTGGAGTCCATGAATAAAAGTGTAATAAAATTAATTGTAAGGCAAAGAATGGAAGGTAACAATAATATGCTAAATCTTATAATAGAGCAATAGATTTATGTAAGAAAACAAATTAGTGGCATCAAAGCCAAAGTGAATATTAATAACAAGCAAAATGATGGAGGTATTCTTACATGTATATGATGTAATGTGTATTATTTTAACAATTTAATAGCCACAGACAGTTTTAAAAATTACATTTAGTAAAATCATAAAGATTTATCAATCTAATAATATAGCTAAATAAGTATCCCAGCTGAGTAAGAATAACGGGTTTATACTGTGTCAACTATTCTTCCTAGATGTTCACCTGTTCCATCCTTTAGAATTATTGTTACCTGTAGTATTATTTGCTGAATCTTGTTGCCTATGATTGCTTGCATTTCTCTTTTACCACTTGAAAATGTTGGATTTCTGCCTTCTGTAATCCAGTTATAGAAGGATAAATCTCTTGTCTGTTTTATACTGACTCTGCAAAGGGATTGAAAAGAAAAGGCACTTGTCTGAGAGTGCCTCTGATTAAAATTCCTGGTGATTTAACTTTAATACATCAAATGTATCCAAGAAAAAAGTTAACAATTTTAATTCAGTATATGGAAATTATATCTTATACGGGCATCAGCATCACATAGAGTGAAGTCAATTGACACAATCTGATTTCCAAATTGGGGGGGGGAATCCAAACATAAATAAAATTCCTTTAAATATTCTTTCCTGGCAAAAAGACAGGTCAGCAGCAAGATAGTCATTTCATTGTGAACAATTAATGGACAATTACTGGCAGAAAACAAGCTTGTTAGAAGGGTTGATCTGTTTTTTGTTGGCAAGCAAGAAACAAAATCAGCTTTCATGTCATCTGAGCATGCAAAGTGTCTTCATTACATGAGCCTTGCCCTGCAGTAATATCAAAGCATCAGTAGATAAAGGAAGAGTTCACACCATTATCACGGATGAATGATGTTTGTAATATATTATTTTCTTTTACAAATCTTTGTGGACTTGTGATTTGCTAAGTGATATGAAACTTCTGAAGTATTGCTATGAACAATAGACAAAGTAAGGCCATTTCTACTTCTTGAAGGCAGAATTAGGTATATGTGTATATCTCTGTGTTTTTTCAGCCAGTTTGTCAAATATATTGTACAACTCCTAATTTTTGTTCATCTTCTAATATATACTACTGATCCTGAAAAGGAGGACTAAGTATTTAAAAGTACCGGTAATGACCAAAAAAGCAACTGCTTTTTTATGGGACCTCTAGAGAAGAAGAGATGGTAGATGCCTGATCTTGGACCTTGTTATTCAGAAGAGTATAATACTGATCTACAAATGAGGTCAACTACTGGTATCCTCACAATAGTAAAGATGTCTGAATAACTCAGTTCTCCTTCATGTGTATGCATTCCACATATAGCTAACTCAGTGAAGCACTTCTTGGCCCGGGGGTGGTGATTTGATCAGCTTTCTGAGGATGTATGTAGAATCCAGTGATTAATAAAATTAGTTACTTATTTTCCTACAAAACATGATTGAAGTTTAGTTATGAAGTTTCTGGGCCACTAACATTTAAATAACAAAACTTATAAAAGTAAAAAGATTTTTTTATAGACATGGCTTTAAAAAGTACAGGTGTGGATGTTATCTTCCTTGTCTCAGCAACTGAAAAGCAAACTGACCTTAGTAGAGAGGAAGATAAAGCAAAATCAACTCCACTAATTCCAGAGCATTCTTCTATTTTTCACTGACAACTTGATTAAAGCAAATTGATAGAGAAGACTCCTGTTCTTCACCTTGAGCTTTAAAGGAGGCTTGTAAGCAGTTGTATGGACAAGTAAAATCTATCTATCAAACTAACATCTATCAGCAAGCAGTGCTAGGACCAGTGATATCCATGCTACTGAATTAAGAGTGAGAGGAAGATCTCAAATATTCTTTAGAGGAAAATGTGGAAGGGAAAAGACCAGAGCATAAAATATCTCTGCTAGCTCTTTTTTGTAAAAGCAGATTCTGCATATGCCAATGTATGTGTTTAGTTTAGACAGCCCCCATTAATGCAACCCTGGGTCATTGTTTAAATTCCCCTGTGGGCTAATAAGTAGCTCTATTTATGAGTAGGGAGGGAGGCATCATTCCTTCTGAGGCTTTAGAAAAATATGTGTTGATCAATAATTTGAACAACTCAAAAACCAAAGAAGATTGCTTACTTTTTAAGTCACACATTTACAGTACAATGACAGGCCACAAATTTTGTCCTTTTTGAAGCTATAGAATGTTTATCATTTTAATTAATTTGGTTTGCTTTGTACTCTTAATTTCCTTTAGTCAAGAATGCTTACCTTTGAGTCAGTCATCTTTTTGAAATGTAACCCCATAACTGCTTTTGATGGTCATTGTTAATAAGGTAATTATCACCTTCTGCATTTTTTGTTTGTTTCCACCTGACCTCACTCTTGATCATTTCCTTCCCACTCCAGCTGTGTTGATGTAAGTATGTGGGTGCTTCTGTGGGCTTGTATTTGAACACATCATTTTGTTACAGGATCCAATCTGAATCGGTCAGAGGTTCATTCTTCCAAGCTTTCAGACTCATGCTGGAGCCCCATCCTCAGGGAATTTCACAATGTCCAGGATATGTGCCTAGAGCAAGTGTAAAGCAGCTATTAATATACATAAGGGGCATTGTCTATGCCAACTTGAATAAGAACTAATCATCCACCTAGAGGATGTCTTAAGGACCCTTGTGAAAGAAAGACAGGCTAGAAAAAGGAAAAGAAGGATAAAATTCAAAAGTTAAAGCCACACTTCCAAACCTGTGTGAACTTGGTCCATAATTTATCGAGCAAACAATTTAACCAGAAAGAATTATGAAACTTGAACACGATGAGGGGTTTAACACATGTGATGCCACACCAACAGAAAAGGCATACCTCTTGGAGATGTTCTCCAGCACTAGTCCAAAAGCTTGGAAGAACAAACCTCTGGTCCTGGTGACCAATTCAGATTGGATCTGCAACATTATCTGCAGATTGGATCTGCAACATATTTTTGCCTTCATGCACATCATTTTGTTCTTCTGATGAAACAGATGGCAAACTACAAAAGGTTATGTTATAATGTATGTGTTTGTTTTTAAGGTGTTATAAAACTCCTTGTTATTAGAGAAATAACTTCTATAATTATGAGTAGCTAATATAAAGTAGCATGCTTGCTAATAAATTACAGATATGTATAAATAAAATATTGTAAGGGTTTTGAACAAAATGTCATTTTCACTTTTTAAAGATTTTTTTCCTTAAATAAGAACCCATAAGTGTCTCATTTTAGGAGGCAGGAACAATCCTCCTGAAGACTATCCGGTACTGCCTTAGTGTCTAATTCAGTGATGGCGAACCTTTTAGAGACCGAGTGCCCAAACTGCATCCCAAAAACCCACTTATGCATCGTCGGGTGCCGGGTGGATGTGGCCCATTGGGTGGGTGTGGCCCATTGGGTGGGCATGGCTTCAGTGGCAATGGCAGACTGGTGGGACTAAAAAGTTCAGTCAATCAATTCCAACTTTGCAAGATCTTTTTTTCCCCACGAGAAGTTGAAATTGACTGATTGAACCTTCTTCTTTTTTCTTTCTTTCTTTTTTTTTTTTTTGCACATGGCGGCGGAGGCCTAAAGTGACTGGTCTAATTGGTTAAGAATTTAATCCATCAAGCAGATGGAGAAGATCACATCTCTTCATCCTTCAGACAGCATCTAATGAAACTGATTCAAATTAGACAATTTTCTTAAAAATGTCGACACATATAATGCTTTCAAACTAAAGTGTCATTGATGGAATGCAAAATGCTTTTCTAAGCATGCCCAGCAATTTGCTCTGCACTCTTGACACAAAACCTGTGTAGCATTTCACACTGCCATCACTTAAATGACATCACTAGGAGAAAGCTGAAACAAAATGCAGTGTCATGTTATTTTTCTTTTATGGAAAAGAAACACTGGCTTATCATAACTTTGCTCTGGAGTGCACACAAAGTCTTATTTTTAAAAAGGGAGAAAAGAGAAAGAAAAGGACAATTAAGACTCTGCCATTTCCTTGTTCGCAGAGAGGGAGCACCAGGTTGGAAGAATGAAGAGAGACACTGTGTGCAAAGCAAATGAGTTTAATTATAGGACAAGAGAAGGAGAGCATGGAAGAATTGTGAAGAGATATGAGACAGAGGAAAAAAGTGAGAGAAACCCCAGGGGTGTCTGTGAAAACATAATCACTAAATTAGCTTCAACCCTTAAAACTTCATTATAAGACCTGAAAGAAAATGATTGCACAGGTAAGTGATGTTGATGACCCAATTAGTGCTAATTAATACCAAAAACTGCCTTGCAAATTCTCCGAAGATTTCTTCCCTTTAATTATTCTTCCCTGATCCTGGGATTCTTGAGAAATTATTGTATATTTCTCTTAGTGGTTTTTTGGAGTTGATGGATGGATAGACCAGAGAGTGCTGTTGTTGGTTTATGTTACACATCATTTACTAACTGAATAAAAAGCCTGATATAATGATAATTCTTTCTGTTTAATAAAAATAGATGAAGCCAGGGAGATTGCAGACACCTGGAAAGATGAATGTGCAATGAAAGTCTAGACATTTGCAAACCTCTTCTGCGACTGTTTAAATAAGTGGGAAAATACCACATTATTCTGATGAACATTTTTCAAATATATTCAGGTAGCAACAATAATAACAAAAATAGCAATCTTCTGTATAAATGGAAAAGACAGAGTTTACAGTCTTGCGATATGATAATGAGAAAAGAGAAAAAGGTTAAACATGTTCATTAAGCATCAAAGATGGGTCTAATTTCACAACTATTAGCAGGAAAAAGTGATGTAATGTATGATAGACTGAATATGGAGAGTAAAAAGAGAAGAAATAATTAAAGATGAAAAGAAAGCTGTGTGATTGATTAAAGGGGGCACACTAATTTTGATGCAGATTTAGTTGGTATGATGGTTCAGTGATTCCAGAAACATGGATGACCCTATGCCAGAGATGGAATATGAGTTGCTGCTCCTCCTACCCATGGAATGACTGGGCTTTTTTTAAGCCGAAAACCAATGAATGAAGATGCAGGTGAGAAGTTTCTTTTAACTGGACCAAGACCCTCACAGAAAAGGAGTAAAACTGATCTTGCTTGGGGAGTATCACTTATCAGATTGAGAGCAAAGTGTGATGTTCTTTCCTATGGATTTTAACTCTGTGTATGAGATTTATACACTTGTCCACATCAAGAGCAGCTCACAAGAGATTTATGCTTGGTGCCCCTGTACTTCTTGCCTAGCAGGGAGGTTAATGGGGCTATGCAAAATCATTAGCATGCTGGCTGTTGCTCAAGAATCACTAGTTGCTATTGCTGACTAGATTACATTCCACATATCACTAGATATCACTACATACATTTAACTTTTTTGGACTATTTTCCAGCTCCTTAAATTTTGCTCAACTCACTGCTTACAGAAGTAAAGCCAATATTGTTACTAATAGACTAATGGTTTCATCTGGGGCACAAGTCAAAGGATAATGAACAAAGACTGATAAATATTATGGCAACATAAACACTAGGGCATTAAGAGACAAAGAAACATTATTTCATATAATTCTATTAGTTCCTGACAGAGAATTTTGTTCCAAGTTTTTGAGGAAGAGGATACTGTAACTGCTTTATTGAAGAGATATTGTGCTGGCCTGGAGTCAGCATTTTCTTACTTAAACAGAGAAACAGAATGGCCACAGGTAGGCAAAAAAGGAAGAAGCAGAGGAGTGACTTCTGACTTCTTGCTAGCTTCCCCATTGATTTTGCTTGTGGAAAGCTGGCAGGGAGCATCAGAAATCATAGTTGGTAACTATAGGGACACTGTAATGGCCACAGTTTTGCAAATAAAACTGCCTGAACCTTGTGGAAATTTCAGTTCTACAGGAGTAAAGGATCATGGATATTTTACTTATTCTTTAACTTAGAGGATAATACCTAGGTACCTTGATTCAAAAATTGTTGCCGTATAATGCATCATTTGGGCTAACTTGAGGGTACAGACAGAGAGACACAATGAAATTTTTAGTAGCATATAGATTAACACTTGGAATGCTGATTTTTTTTTTTTTTTGGTTCCTCTAAGTTTAATGAAAAAGGTTTTAGTTTAGAAATTCTTTCTTCTAAGAAGGAAATTATAGAGAAATCGTCATAGGTGAAATTATTTTGTTCTTGTATTTAGTTACTAGTTTACTAAGGGCCTATATGTCCTGTCCTTCATTGGATAATCATCTCTCCAATAATCTGCAAGCTTCCTCCTTCCGTTATATATTCAAGATGGACAGTATTTAATATTTATTTGCTGTGTATATATAGGGGTGTGGGTCTATACATACGTTGTTCATAGTATGTTTAGGTGTGTGTCATGTATGTGTTTCACTTTGAGAGCGGGCAACTAAATTTCATTTTTGATGTGTGCCGTTGTGCCCACAGGAAAAAACGACAATAAAGATTATCTTATATCTTATCTTATCTTATCTTATCTTATCATCTTATCTTATCTTATCATCTTAATTTCATACGCTTTAGTTAAATCCCAGAGAAAGATTTTATGAAGAATTCATGTCATAGGACTTTCTCATCATAGAAACACTGCTATCACTGAAGGACAGAAGCAAAAAAAACACAACCTAGGTTGATTCTTCCTAGGTCTTCCGAATTATTTCCTGAACACGTGTAAATTTGTCATCAAGATGTGAAGATATGGGGTAGACATTGTCCTGTCAAGCACACACAAGCACGTGGATAGTTGCAAATTTTATTGATACATTTTGTGAAATAACATAAATAATAAGAAATGGGAATGCAAATATAAACACACACACACACACACACACACACACACACAGTAAAGACACAAGTCCTCCAAACTTCAGTAAGTTTGCCTTAAAAGTGTTCCAAATCCAAAACATCTGGCACAAGGGTGGTCAAGCAAAGTCTAAATATGGAAGAAAGTTCATTAGCCAGTCTAGAGTCAAAGTCACAAGATTTCAAGTCAGGAGGCAAAGCCCACAAAGTCTAGGTAAATAAATAGTTGTTACCAACAGAAGAGCTTCAATTCATTGCTCTGAAACAGAAGCAAATTTGAAGGGCCAGGTTCTTTTCTTGCAAAGAGTCTTACAGAGTGCCTTTGCTCAGCTTTCCTCTCAGCACAGTGAGTCCCTGCCCTGCCCTGGGATGGGGTGGGATGGTAGCTCAGATTTCTCATCTTCAAAGACTGCTGGCAGCTGTGCTTGCTGTTTATGGTCCATTTTGGTTGCATTCTTAAATTGGGTATTTGGTGGGGCGTTTTTAAAATCTTCACACCGGCAACTTTTATTTTTCAGCACAAATTACATTATCAAACAAATTATTGTAATCCTTCTTCCAAAGTGTTATAATTTAAAGAAGGAGTACATCAAGGTTATGTATTATTACAGGGTTTATTTAACTTCGTTACAGAATATATCTTAAGAATTGCTGGATTAGCAGAAAGAGGAATTGGAATTAAAAATGCTGGGAAAAATATCAACAACCTTAGAGATGATGATAATATGACTTTGATGGCTAGAAGTAAGAAA